TTTCTAAATTTCAACCATAATTTTTCTAGTTGGTCTCAAAAAGCGGCCTGAACATTCAAGTTTAACCTTGATGTTCGAGCATATTTTAAAATTATAATTCTATTTTGTATTTCAAAAAACTGTAATAAGCAGCATGCAAAGTTGGATCGCATTGACAGACTGGAAAACAACTGATGATGATAACTTTCTAAGAATTGTTTCTAAAGTTTTGAACCTAAAAATTAGATCGTAACGAGCTCTACTAAATCTCCCTATAAATTAAAATTTTGCTATTGATTGCATGCGAAAACTGTTTCAAGCTCTTTATAAGTTTTCCAAAGACCTGATATAGAATTAAACTGCTGTAGTATCTCAAAAAGGGTAAATAAAATTCGTTTTAATCTTTTATTGGCTTGTTTCTGCTCAAAATCAGGTACTACAAAAAACCACGTAATAGATATAGCGGTAGGTTGAATAAAAAATTTTTATTTGCAGGACAAATACTAGGAAAAAATGTTCAAAATATAACGATGAGATTTTGTATGAAATTATCGCTAGTTACACAAAGCTTAAGTTTACCTTGGTTGAATGAATCGATTCATTTTATTCTTATTATTTAAGAAACATATCATTTGAGTAAACAATTTAAATTTTTAATATTTGATGCTGTGTGACGGCAATCAAATGATCTTGCTTGTTTCATATTGAATCTCATTAATTGATTTTTTTGGAAACCATGCTTATTTAAGTTTAGGCGTAACAACAAATCAACATCCGATCTCCTCAACATTACCAGGCCAAACTGTAATTTTTTGTGAATTGTAAGCGGATTCCGTAACAAGGAAGCTCTCTTTGATCTTCTTTTGTTCTTTCAGTTTCTTTGATCGTTCTGACCAAACTTTAACATGTTTAAAGACTTATGTATGAATTCCAGGCACAAACACGAAATTGTGCGCCTTTCCAGTGCACAAATTGGCCTCGTAATGAAAATGCAATTATTGCTACTACATAATTGTTTTATTGACATAAGCCAAAAGTTAGCTTCAGTTTCAATTTTAATATTTGATGCTGTGTGACGGCAATCAAATGATCTTGCTTGTTTCATATTGAATCTCATTAATTGATTTTTTTGGAAACCATGCTTATTTAAGTTTAGGCGTAACAACAAATCAACATCCGATCTCCTCAACATTACCAGGCCAAACTGTAATTTTTTGTGAATTGTGAGCGGATTCCGTAACAAGGAAGCTCTCTTTGATCTTCTTTTGTTCTTTCAGTTTCTTTGATCGTTCTGACCAAACTTTAACATGTTTAAAGACTTATGTATGAATTCCAGGCACAAACACGAAATTGTGCGCCTTTCCAGTGCACAAATTGGCCTCGTAATGAAAATGCAATTATTGCTACTACATAATTGTTTTATTGACATAAGCCAAAAGTTAGCTTCAGTTTCAATTTGAGTTTTTTTAGATCCTCTTTCATCTTAAAAGGAAATAATATTAAAGTTTTGTCAATATATTATGCTCTTCTGAAAGTTAATTTAAGTTTGTAAGCTCAACCTTTGCGTCAAATTTTCAGATATTTTTCAGCAATCGAAATTGTTGTAACTATTATTCTGGTTTGGATTTTGCCGACCTTTTTTTAAAATTGTTTCATTTGTCAAGTAACAAACTAAAATTGTAGAAACGTCAAAAGATTGATCAACATGACTTCGGTTAAACCCAAACAAAATTTGACATAATTTGATTCTTTGCACTGCCTATATAGCCAAAATTGGATGACTTAAAATAGTGCTACAAAGAGGGAGAGCTTTTAGGCGGTTAGTCAGGATATCGAATTGACGACGAATGGCGAGCAAAATCCCCATGTCCATTAATGTGTGTTGTTCAGTTTCAATCTAAAATTTTGCTTTCGTTCCGACCAAGAAGTGGGCTGGAACGCTGTATTCGAGAGTGCTTGGCTTACTTATACGTTGAAAAAGCGGAAAATAGTTTCTCAGGTGCGTCGCAGCAGGGGCGAATCTAGGATTTTCACGAGGGGGGCGGGAGATTTTCAAAAAATTTCAAAAATTTTGACGATTTATTTTCTAGGTCGACCAAATTGATTATCTGAGAACTCCCATATCACTATAAAGACCCCATTTTGACCAAATTTCTTTCTCTGCAGGCAAATTTTTGATAAAACCGGCCAAAAAAAAACATTTTTAGACACTTTTCGGAACATTTTGACCAAAAATCGCGTTTTTTCGGCGCGCTCTACACCCTCAAAATTATTGTATTTTAACGCCGAAGGCGCCTTTAGAAAAATTTTGGGGTCAGTCAGCCAAAAATGGATATCAAAATAGTACAGCGCTTACTCCTCAGTGATTCGACCCCCCCCCCCCCCCCCCGTGCCGACCCAAAGGGCCCCTTTTTACAATTTTGAGATGTCCATTTTTGGCAGACGGACCCTAAAACTTTCTCAAGGCGCCTTTGATGCCCATAATTTATAGCTTTGAGGGAAAAGCTTGCCGCCGAAAAATGGCAATTTTTATCATCAAATTTTTCAAAAATTGCTTAAAAACGCTTTTTAGTAAGTTTTTTCAAAATTTTGCCAGCTGCGCACAAAATTTTGTCAAAACAGGGTTTTCTAGTGCTTTGGGAGAGCTGGGAAAATCAGTTTGATCGACCTATAAAAGATCAAAAATTCTTTTTGGAAATCCCCCCTACTCACGTGAAAATCCTAGATCCGCCCCTGGCAATGACAAACAGCTTCCAAGATATTTTTGAAAAATTTAAGCAAATTTTTATTAGTTTAGTTTACAAGATTCATTTCGTCACCAAATAACGCCGAGTTTTTCTCTGTCATAGGAAATGGATATGTATCTAAAATAGACTTCATGGATATGGGTTGTTTAGGTTGAGGTGTACTACCTACCAAATCAGATAAATAGGTCAAATTATTCAGTAAGTCTTTATTCCTAATTTCATGGCGAATAACATCTCTGTTCATAAATAGTCCCAAAGACTCGTAATAATCTCGGTATTTGTAATTTCCACCTGCAATTTTGGTCGACAAAGTTATCACAGCTGCCGGAATTCCGTAGGAGTGAGACACAATTAATCCATGCAGGCTTGAAGAAACGACTTTTTCACATTCGATCACGTTTTTTGGAACATCAATCACGTGGTCTTTGAAGTTGAGAGGTATAGTGATCGGAACAATTTTGATCGAGTTTCGACGACTCGCAATAGCAGATTTAACAGCAAGGCTGTCGACGTAATGAGGAATTATACACATAGGATATTTTGGAGATTTTTTAAGAGGAAATAACTTCGACGTTAGCAGTCCGGGATCTTTCGCAACAAAAGGCAAAACACCGCGCATAGCAAGAACGGCAATCTGAGATTCAGGTCCTCGAACACTGAATAATTTTTGCCCTGATTTCAAAGTTGAACTTAAAGACTTTGAGGGTTTCATGATTAAACCACTGCCCCATACATACCAAGAATTTTTGTCGCCTAAAACTGGCCCCAAAATACTTCCAATGCCATAAAAGGTAACCGAATTTGAAGAAACGCTGCTTGCAGGAACCACGTTAATTCCACTGAGTTTCAGAACTTCTTCGGGGCCTAGAACATCTCCCCAATTAGAGTATCCCAAATTGGAAGGATGAAAATAGTGCATTCGGACAGTTTTTTGAGTTTTTATTATTTCACGTCCGTATTTTTTAATTTCTTCTATTGTATAAGTTGGCTTTGTAATGTGGTTTAGAACAGCTTGAAACAACATGTACTTTGTTTGCGACTTGTCATAAGTTTCAATAGTCGCAATTCCCAAATTTCGAATTTCTTTAGCATCTTTTTCTACCGTTGCGTGAAGGAGAAGCGCTTTGCATATAGTGCTTAACTGACTTTCATCGGCAATTAAACCTTCAAGGTTCTTTTTGCACATTTTCTCGTCTATTCTGGAATTGCTTCGGTGAAAGCGAACTTTGATATAATTTGCAGCAAAAGGTTGAACCAGTTTGGCTGGAATGAGATGTCTGGCAAATGTCGATCGGGATTTGCCAGAGAAGAATGGTTCCGGCGGAACTGACTCCTGGTATCTAAAAATCAAAGTGAAATCGATAACGCAATTAGTAAAGATATTTAACGACTGGCAACTGCTTAACAAGGAACTAAATGTATTTATCACTCGGATATCCAATTTTTTTGTTCCTCACTTGATGAAAAAATCAAAAAAAACTTCAGTGGAACAAAGTTTCTGTTTTCAGAAAAAATTCATCTTAACATGTGAAGAAGGCGCAATTTTTGAAAACAAACTAAATTCAGAACTTGAAAAAAAAACGTTCAACCTTTATTTCTGTCTTTAAGATAAATTAGCAGCTCTGCTAGGAATTAGAATTAGAATGTACGCGCGCACAAGCGCATTTGAAAATCAATGTTTTTAAAACTTTCTTTGGGTTTGAAATTGCTATTAAATTTAACGGAAAAAAAAATTAATTTTTTAGCATGTTCTAGCAGTTGACTGCTTCGGATGAAATTGCATAAAAATAGGAGTAAGTTTTATTCTAACTTATTTAGTTTTGAGCCTCAAGCAGTCACAAGAAGGTATGGTGGTTTGATGGTTATCGACCTTCAGTACTGAAAAGATTGGAATATCAATGACAAAACTTGAAGAAATATATCAGCGTATTCAAAGTATTCAAAGCCATTTTAACAATGATCAACGTGATCCATTTTGATCCTTTTTAATCATGACTACTGCATCTAAAAGTTTTTAGTCAGCAACCCAAAAGTTTTTCACTAGATACTATTTTTCAAAAAGTTTTATCGATCAAACGAAAAACTGTTTTTAAGCATTCGACTTGAAGTTCATCAAATTATTCAGAGCTTAGCTTATTCTTTCAATTCAAAAAAAGCTTACTTTATTTTTATTGTTCCGACTTTCGATACGAAAGTAACGGAATATTTGTGCTCGGGTGGGTTTTTTTTTCTTCAGACAAATTTCGACTTTTTAACTAGCCTTTTTTGACGGAATTTTTTTATATCATTCGAAAGCTATTGTTGTCCTGAGCTTAAATTTGAAAAGATATTTCACCTGTGATCATTTTTTGTAAAGTTATGAGGGTTTAAAGATTGCCATTTTGGCCATTTTGACCAATTTGGGACAATTAACTCGCGATATAATTTGCGCTAGTAACGCGTAATAAGCGGAGATTTAAACCGTCTTAGAAATTGTTCCAAATTGGTTGAAAGAAGCTTATTTGCCATAATTGGTTTGTTTCAAGAAACGAAATCTAACCTTTTGTACTTTATATGGCGTGTGGGGGGATAATTTTCATAAAAAATTTCAAATTTTAGAAAAAAAAGTTTTCATTTTATTTTATTTCAATTAACTTTTTTATGTTATTACTGCTTCTCCATAAACCTTAAAAGGCAGTCGGAACACTCAGGGCTTCACCCTGATACGAGCAGTCTTGTTTCATTTCGCCTTTAATTTTCAAATAACCCGCCATTTTTAAATAGATAAATTGCTCAAAAATGCGAGAATTTTTTTTTCATGAGTTGCGCTCCCGTTTTAAAGTTTGGATTTTTAATATCCGTAGTTCACAGGTCACGTTACTAACAAAAGTAGCTTAAATGTTAGTTAGTGACCAAATCACTTTTCTAGGTAGATCCAACTTTCTGTCATCAAACTCTTACTTTTGTCTAGTTGTAAATTGTCAATTGATGCTTGATAGTCGTTCAATTGATACTTGATAATATATTATGACTTTTTGTTACTCCCCCACATTTGAATTTCATTATTGAACATTTGAATTGACAATGTTAGAATGCAAAGAAACATAGCATGGTGAAAAATTTAACAATTGCGAACAGATTTGTTCTTCGACCTTTCATCGTAAAATTACATGAGTAGCTGCAATTGCACGTTAAGCTATTATTAAAAGAGTCTGCTTTCTCCCCATTCCTCTCACATTGGAGTCAATTTATTGGTGTAACAAGGGGTTCTACAAGCTTAAATATAATTACAAATATTTTTTCATCCCACAAGCCAAGTAATGTAATAATCAGACAATGTGAACAAAAATTACTGGAAAAATTTGCAGGTGGATGAACCCAACGTTTCCAAGGAAAGAAAAAACCCAACGTTTTCAAGTTCTTCTCCATATTTGAAAATCAGTTTTGAAAAACTACTTTTATGTCTCATAAAAGACCGAGGTTTTGCATGGTTCAGAACTTAGTTGTTGTTATCATTTTTGTTTTCCAAATCAAAAATTGTGACACCACACACTCGGCTGTAATAAAACTCAAGACTAAGAAATAACTAAGAAAGTGGAAACTTGGAAGTGATCGCGGGAAATTGAAAATGAGCACAACATTGATTCCGCGCCCAGCCAAAAACCTAAGAAATTGAATTGAAACAATTTTTGTTTTTGATTTTTAGTGCTGCTCAAAGTTTCATTAGCATATATTATTCAGAATTTAATTTGACAGATGAAATTATTTAAGCTAATGAATGAAAATGCATGTTATTAAATCTTTCCATCTATTCAAAAACACAAATTAAAAAACTGGCTCTTTTTCATCGCTCTAACAATTTTCCGTTTTCAAGTGTTGTCTTGCGTGTTAAATTGGCTGAATGCGTGATTCTACAAAGTAAAGAATGCAACATGATTTGAACACTGAGATTTGAAATGTGTAGAGAAAGTAGAAATGAGCTGAAAAACTTCTAAATTATGTTTTGAACACGATAATTATTGGGGCAGTACAATAGTGCTGAAGTACAACAGTACCGAATATTAAAATGTTGTTCAACAGTGCCGAATTTTTTTTTAATTTTGTTTTTAAACATCCCAAATCACTGACATGTAATTCAATTCAAATGGACGGTAGTTGAAAAGACATAATTGGCCATTTTGATTGCTGTCACTTGTTAAACAAACAAAAGTTCCCCCGCGCGGCCTCATAAATTTTTCTGAACAAACAATTAATTTAGCAATTTGCCAATTTTCTTCTCCATTTCGCTCCAAAGCAAACACGTAGTCACGCAAAATTGCTAGAGTTCACAAACAAAACTCAGAGTTTTGAAATATCATCAAGTTTTGGCACTGTTAAACACAAAACACAATTCCATTTTCTGATTTGTTGTACTTCGGCACTGTTGAAAGCTAGCTAACGATCTACAACTAAGCAAAAAAAGAATCATTTCGGCTCAGCCGTTCAAAAAGAGTAGCTCCTTTGTCGGAACTGTTTTAAGAGGGACGAGGGACTGTAAACTTGATCCGAAATTTTTGGCTGTTTTGTGCTCCCACTACAGCTGAAAAATGGACCAAGTGAGCAATCGCCCCCTAAATCAATTTAGGTGGGAGATTGTTCACTGGGTTAAAAATAATTTTTGTCATCCAAACAAATTTGAGCATAGTACATACATGCAAGCCTTACTGCTTGATTTTTCCCTTTTGTTTTTTGGGGCAGATTGCTCAACTTGGGCCTACAAAATGTTTGATTCGTAGTTTTTTCACGCGCTGTTTCACTTAACGATGTAGGGCGCGAGGAACAAAAGTATTCAAAATGATTAGATTTTTCACCACAAAAATTTTAAAAGTTTTAAAGGACAAGCTTAAAAAGTAATTTCAAATGTGAGATGGGGAAATGTGGAAAAGAGTCCATTTTGTAAACCATTGCTGTACCTGGTTTCATTCAAAAGAGTAGACAGGGAACTTGAGTTTCTGTCGTAATTTGTAACTTCGCTATAATTTGTCAAAGGCCCATGAATATTTTCTGTTATTTCCTTCAAAGTAATGTTTGGTCGTGGTCTAAATTCTGCCATTATTGTCTATTTTCGATAAATGTTCAAATGATAGGAAGACATAAGAATTGATGTTCCAGCAACCATTAAAATAATCAAAACAATTGCAACCTTTTTAGTAAACATTTCAGATTTTTCTTGAAACGGTTTAAGCTTAAGGCGTATTTTTTAATTTCTTCTATTGTATAAGTTGGCTTTGTAATGTGGTTTAGAACAGCTTGAAACAACATGTACTTTGTTTGCGACTTGTCATAAGTTTCAATAGTCGCAATTCCCAAATTTCGAATTTCGTTAACATCTTTTTCTACGGTTGCGTGAAGGAGAAGCGCTTTGCATATAGTGCTTAACTGACTTTCATCGGCAATTAAACCTTCAAGGTTCTTTTTGCACATTTTTTCGTCTATTCTGGAATTGCTTCGGTGAAAGCGAACTTTGATATAATTTGCAGCAAAAGGTTGAACCAGTTTGGCTGGAATGAGATGTCTGGCAAATGTCGATCGGGATTTGCCAGAGAAGAATGGTTCCGGCGGAACTGACTCCTGGTATCTAAAAATCAAAGTGAAATCGATAACGCAATTAGTAAAGATATTTAACGACTGACAACTGCTTAACAAGGAACTAAATGTATTTATCACTCGGATATCCAATTTTTTTGTTCCTCACTTGATGAAAAAATCAAAAAAAACTTCAGTGGAACAAAGTTTCTGTTTTCAGAAAAAATTCATCTTAACATGTGAAGAAGGCGCAATTTTTGAAAACAAACTAAATTCAGAACTTGAAAAAAAAATGTTCAACCTTTATTTCTGTCTTTAAGATAAATTAGCAGCTCTGCTAGGATTTAGAATTAGAATGTACGCGCGCACAAGCGCATTTGAAAATCAATGTTTTTAAAACTTTCTTTGGGTTCGAAATTGCTATTAGATTTAACGGAAAAAAAATTAATTTTTTAGCATGTTCTAGCAGTTGACTGCTTCGGATGAAATTGCATAAAAATAGGAGTATGTTTTATTCTAACTTATTTAGTTTTGAGCCTCAAGCAGTCACAAGAAGGTATGGTGGTTTGATGGTTATCGACCTTCAGTACTGAAAAGATTGGAATATCAATGACAAAACTTGAAGAAATATATCAGCGTATTCAAAGTATTCAAAGCCATTTTAACAATGATCAACGTGATCCATTTTGATCCTTTTTAATTATGACTACTGCATCTAAAAGTTTTTAGTCAGCAACCCAAAAGTTTTTCACTAGATATTATTTTTCAAAAAGTTTTATCGATCAAACGAAAAACTGTTTTTAAGCATTCGACTTGAAGTTCATCAAATTATTCAGAGCTTAGCTTATTCTTTCAATTCAAAAAAAACTTACTTTATTTTTTTTGTTCCGACTTTCGATACGAAAGTAACGGAATATTTGAGCTCGGGGTGGGTTTTTTTTTTCTTCAGACAAATTTCGACTTTTTAACTAGCCATTTTTGACGAAATTTTTTTATATCATTCGAAAGCTATTGGTGTCCTGAGCTTAAATTTGAAAAGATATTTCACCTGTGATCATTTTTCGTAAAGTTATGAGGGTTTAAAGATTGCCATTTTGGCCATTTTGACCAATTTGGGACAATTAACTCGCGATATAATTTGCGCTAGTAACGCGTAATAAGCGGAGATTTAAACCGTCTTAGAAATCGTTCCAAATTGATTGAAAGAAGCTTTTTTGCCATAATTGGTTTGTTTCAAGAAACGAAATCTAACCTTTTGTACTTTATATGCCGTGTGGGGGGATAATTTTCATAAAAAAATTTCAAATTTTAGAAAAAAAAGTTTTCATTTTATTTTATTTCAATTAACTTTTTTATGTTATTACTGCTTCTCCATAAACCTTCAAAGGCAGTCGGAACACTCAGGGTTTCGCCCTGATACGAGCAGTCTTGTTTCATTTTGCCTTTAATTTTCAATTAACCCGCCATTTTTAAATAGATAAATTGCTCAAAAATGCGAGAAATTTTTTTCATGAGTTGCGCTCCCGTTTTAAAGTTTGGATTTTTAATATCCGTAGTTCACATGTCACGTTACTAACAAAAGTAGCTTAAATGTTAGTTAGTGACCAAATCACTTTTCTAGGTAGATCCAACTTTCTGTCATCAAACTCGTACTTTTTCTCTAGTTGTAAATTGTCAATTGATGCTTGATAGTCGTTCAATTGATACTTGATAATATGTTATGACTTTTTGTTACTCCCTCACATTTGAATTTCATTATTGAACATTTGAATTGACAATGTTAGAATGAAAAGAAACATAGCATGGTGAAAAATTTAACAATTGCGAACAGATTTGTTCTTCGACCTTTCATCGTAAAATTACATGAGTAGCTGCAATTGCACGTTAAGCTATTATTAAAAGAGTCTGCTTTCTCCCCATTCCTCTCACATTGGAGTCAATTTATTGGTGTAACAAGGGGTTCTACAAGCTTAAATATAATTACAAATATTTTTTCATCCCACAAGCCAAGTAATGTAATAATCAGACAATGTGAACAAAAATTACTAGAAAAATTTGCAGGTGGATGAACCCAACGTTTCCAAGGAAAGAAAAACCCCAACGTTTTCAAGTTCTTCCCCATATTTGAAAATCAGTTTTGAAAAACTACTTTTATGTCTCATAAAAGACCGAGGTTTTGCATGGTTCAGAACTTAGTTGTTGTTATCATTTTTGTTTTCCAAATCAAAAATTGTGACACCACACACTCGGCTGTAATAAAACTCAAGACTAAGAAATAACTAAGAAAGAGGAAATTTGGAAGTGATGGCGGGAAATTGAAAATGAGCACAACATTGATTCCGCGCCCAGCCAAAAACCTAAGAAATTGAATTTAAACAATTTTGTTTTTGATTTTTAGTGCTGCTCAAAGTTTCATTAGCATATATTATTCAGAATTTAATTTGACAGATGAAATTATTTACGCTAATGAATGAAAATGCATGTTATTAAATCTTTCCATCTATTCAAAAACACAAATTAAAAAACTGGCTCTTTTTCATCCCTCTAACATTTTTCCATCTTCAAGTGTTGTCTTGCGTGTTAAATTGGCTGAATGCGTGATTCTACAAAGTAAAGAATGCAACATGATTTGAACACTGAGATTTGAAATGTGTAGAGAAAGTAGAAATGAGCTGAAAAACTTCTAAATTATGTTTTGAACACGATAATTATTGGGGCAGTACAATAGTGCTGAAGTACAACAGTACCGAATATTAAAATGTTGTTCAACAGTGCCGAATTTTTTTTTAATTTTGTTTTTAAACATCCCAAATCACTGACATGTAATTCAATTCAAATGGACGGTAGTTGAAAAGACACAATTGGCCATTTTGATTGCTGTCACTTGTTAAACAAACAAAAGTTCCCCCGCGCGGCCTCATAAATTTTTCTGAACAAACAATTAATTTAGCAATTTGCCAATTTTCTTCTCCATTTCGCTCCAAAGCAAACACGTAGTCACGCAAAATTGCTAACAATTCACAAACAAAACTCAGAGTTTTGAAATATCATCAAGTTTTGGCACTGTTAAACACAAAAGACAATTCCATTTTCTGATTTGTTGTAATTCGGCACTGTTGAACGCTAGCTAACGATCTACAACTAAGCAAAAAAAAGAATCATTTCAGCTCAGCCGTTCAAAAAGAGTAGCTCCTTTGTCGGAACTGTTTTAAGAGGGACGAGGGACTGTAAACTTGATCCGAAATTTTTGGCTGTTTTGTGCTCCCACTACAGCTGAAAAATGGACCAAGTGAGCAATCGCCCCCTAAATCAATTTAGGTGGGAGATTGTTCACTGGGTTAAAAGTAATTTTTGTCATCCAAACAAATTTGAGCATAGTACATACATGCAAGCCTTACTGCTTGATTTTTCCCTTTTGTTTTTTGGGGCAGATTGCTCAACTTGGGCCTACAAAATGTTTGATGCGTAGTTTTTTCACGCGCTGTTTCACTTAACGATGTAGGGCGCGAGGAACAAAAGTATTCAAAATGATTAGATTTTTCATCACAAAAATTTTAAAAGTTTTAAAGGACAAGCTTAAAAAGTAATTTCAAATGTGAGATGGGGAAATGTGGAAAAGAGTCCATTTTGTAAACCATTGCTGTACCTGGTTTCATTCAAAAGAGTAGACAGGGAACTTGAGTTTCTGTCGTCATTTGTAACTTCGCTATAATTTGTCAAAGGCCCATGAATATTTTCTGTTATTTCCTTCAAAGTAATGTTTGGTCGTGGTCTAAATTCTGCCATTATTGTCTGTTTTCGATAAATGTTCAAATGATAGGAAGACATAAGAATTGATGTTCCAGCAACCATTAAAATAATCAAAACAATTGCAACTTTTTTAGTAAACATTTGAGATTTTTCTTGAAACGGTTTAAGCTTAAGGCGGTAGAAAAATTGGGCGACAACTAAAATGAATATTCCAAGTAGTTTCAATCTGGTTTGGAAATTGTTTAAATCGAAGCCTTTTTCCAGAATAAAAGCACTGGATATAATTGTCAAAGGTCTTTTTAAGATATTCAGAAGACCATGAGAAACTGCGTTTTCAACTTGACTCAAAACTTTCAGGGACAAAAAGTTGTAAAGCGCATGCGAGGATGACGCATAAAACAAAACCTTCAGCCAATTGCTATTGGTTAAAAACCTCGCAGCATGATTTGTCGATATTGATATCAAAATTAACCAACCAGGAGCTGTGAATAATAAACAACAAAATGAAATTCGTCCTAATTGCTCAGAAGGTTCCGATTGCTTGATTTTAGCAAATTTGAGGTATACATTTCTAGAGGAGAACGATAAGTTTGAAAGGCACGCGAGAATAATGGCTGACCACGCGAATTGAAGCTCGGAAAAGGCAGAAATACAAGCACCACAAACAGCAACACACATGTAAAAATTTTGGTAACAATCTTGGTAATTTTTGAATATCACAGCTGATAATGCGACGGTAAAAATTGGTTCTAAACATTTAATAACTTGATTAAGTGAGACAGAAGTTAGCGCCAACGAAACTAAGGTTGTTAAATTGCCACAAAAGTAAAAGGCT